TACATCAAACAGTATACATAGGAAAAAGAACAGTGTTTAAAACGCTTCCAAATATTTTATATCATTTTATGCTTTCTATCAAAATCTTGTCAATTATTTACCTGCGTCAGTATTACCATAGAAATCACCAACAGTAAAGTACATTTCGCTGCCATGTTCTTCTTTGTGCTTCTGACTAAGTTGGTAATGGTTGTCTGCTGGGCAGAAAAGTGGTATTTATAGTATATGCTATGGACACCAGGAATTCCCTGCAGATAATGGCCTGCCAATTACAGAAATGGTTGCTGTTTTTGCGAAGTCCGCTTTCCGCAAATTATAATGATAACTTTCAACCACAGGGTCTCCCAAACGTTGGAAAATCCAGGTTTGTAAATTAATTAGGAATGCTAATGAAATCGGCGAAAGACTTCTATCCGAATGAGATCTTAATCTCGAAATCTTAAAAAAGTTTCAACGTTACTTTTCGAGAAGAATAATGTACTTCTTTGTACTCTGACATTATACAGTCCCGGAGGCAACACAGAGAAGTCTTAGAAATGTATTTTCTCACCATGAAGGACATCCCCATATAATTTCATTTCTGGTTTCTGGTTTACTAAACAACACAACAAAACAAAACAGTGCGGTACAGCACTATACTGTAGTACTATAGAATAGTGCAGTATAGTAGAGTATAGTACAGTACAGTACAGTACAGTACAGAACAGTGCAGTGCAGTATAGTACAGTACAGTACAGTACAGTACAGTACAGTACTGTATAGTATAGTATAGTATATTATAGTACAGTATAGCACACTATACTATACTACACTATTCTATATTGTACTATACAACACTATACTACACTACACTTCTCTTTACTCTACTATATTATACTATACTGTTCGATGTCGTTGTATGAAGAGACAACCACTTGTTGAACTGTTCTGTAGTGTTTATTATAGTTGCACAATGTACACAGACGAACTTGAAGAATTTAAAGAATAATAATAACAATAATAAACTCAGTAACACCTTGAACATTGTATTGAAACGCAACACTGTTCTAGAATTGTAGAACTGTTTGGAAACAAGTGGTTGTCTCTTCATACACCGACATCCCACAATACTATACTACACTACAGTTTACTGTACTTTACTACACTACACTACACTACACTATACTACACTACACTTTATTATACTTTACTACACTACACTACACAATACCAGACTATACTATATTATGCTATACTATGCTTTGTTTTACTATGAAGATATTTGCACACAAGTGAAGCAAGTGATATAATTTCTTCCCGTAAAGTCGTGCAGCAGGTACATAAATTTAGGAAATTGTTTTCACATCATTTTACACGCAATTTCATGAAAAACAAATTTAATATCGTACATTTCTTCCAAACCATGGGACAGTCGTTCCAGTAGTTGGGAAATTTCCCATATTACGCGGACTCCAGAGGTAAATTGCTGTGTTCTTATGAAACTGGTACTGGAAGTTACACTGTAAATAATATTTCACAATTCATCCGCATATGCATTTAGATCTCGCAATTGGTCTCTTTCCTTCAAGGTTTCCGACAAAATATTGTACACATATCTCATCAGATCCATGTGCGTTATGACGGGAGTACCTCAAACATTGTGATCACCATAAACATATTTGGTGATCAGTTCAAATTATGCACTGCTGATTAGTGTTCTGATTCCTCCAGTCATCTGTTTTTCCTTCTCAATGCTCCACGTGCATTCAGAAACCATTCCTCAAACCATTCCACACTTTCCACTCAAAGCGGGAGGGAAAGCTCCATAGTCACAAAACAAAAAGGAAATTCAATAAATTCTGACGCCTAGAAATGTTTCATTTCATAGACCACATGATTAAATATAGATCTACTGGGAAAGGTTAGACTGCCTCCACGCCTTTCTGCACATGTAATTCCTTTCCTCTCTGCACACTCCTTTCTTAAGCACGTCACTTACAACAGAAATACAGTATCCATGTGACAAGGAAACGTCGAAACATGAGTCACTCGACTTTAAAAAGTGATAATCATTCGGTACACTAATACACGTAGCCGTTTATTGTAACCATTCCATGTGATCCCACAAGAAATTTATGCGGAGATGGACGTAATAAGCAATTCACATGAAGAATACCTCTTCTGGGATGTGTGAACCGCAGTTTCCGAGTAACGTATCGCTTCCATCTCAAAGGTAGAGAAATCCGCGAGTGAGGAACCAGCGTTAGCAGTGGCTGCAGACTGAGCCACCAGTCGAAAACACCCAGCTATATAAGAAGAGGGAGGGAGAGTGGGTCACATGGGAAACAATAGAGAGGAGAGGTTTTGGTCTGTAGAGATAGGCGAACAGGTATGAGGTAGCTAAAAGTGGGTCAGAGCCAGTATAGGATCGTTGTCCGTGGTGGGAATGCCAGGGCTACCGAGCGAGCATTGACCCCGTAGCCTCGGGACTAACCCTCCGAGCGTACTTAGCAATTTACATGTTTCATTGTTGCATTTGTAGGCTTTTGATCACTTCCTGAAGTTGTGTGACATGGGGCTGTGGGTTCGTTGTGCCGACAAGACGAAAGAAACAATTTCACTCAATTTGAAGGTACGATATATCCTCGACATTAACTTTCATGTACAGATGGAAATCCGAGAGAATGAAAGGAACATAACAGGCGGTGATTGGGATAAATGCCGACTTTAATTAGGGGTACAGTAAGCCCACAGACAACTAAACTGTCGTGGAAGACCTAAGAAGAACTAAAAGTAAGTGGGAGGACAACGTAAAGATGGATCTTTGAGAATTAGAATGGAGTGTCATGGATTGGACTGATCTGTCTCGGGATAGAGAACATTGGAGGGGTGTTGTGAACAAGGCAAAGAATTTTCGGGTTCCAGAAAATGTTTGGAAATTATTGAGTAGCTGAGGGACTGGAGACTTTTCAAGGAGGACTCATCTCCATGGAGTTAGTTATGACGTAGTAAGTGCTCAGAAGCTATTTATTAGTGTGCTTACAGACAGGAAAAGTGTCCTGATAGGACCTCCATGTACATATGAGGGCTGTGGATATTTACACGTTAAACGCTAACATGTTTGAATTTTTCATGAAACAATTTGCTTTGCCACTGGTCCCTTTCCTGCCGCCTGTTGCTCTTAAACTGTTTGTTGATATCATGCAATCAGCACTGTTTTCGTAATTGATCAATTCATAGAAAATTATTTGGTTTCCAATTTCATGTCTCTATGATTCCATATTAGTATAGTAAAAAAAAATAAATAGGATATTGGTGGGAAAGCCAGAAGGAAAATAACCACCGTGAAGACTAAGGCGTAAGTGGGTAGACAATATTAAAATGGATCTCAGAAAGATAGGATGTGATGGTATGGATTGGATTGAGCTAGTTTAGGATAGGGACAAGTGGAGGGCTCTTGTGAACGCAGTAATGAACCTTCGAGTTCCATAAAATGCTGGGAAATTCTTGAGTAGCTGCAGAATTGGCGGCTCCTCAAGAAAGGCTGAGCTCCATGAGTAAGTAAGTAAAAAAATAAATAGTATATAAACTTTGTTGGAGTACAATAACCGAATATAGGATAGTAATAGAAATTTATCATATTTTAAATACTGTAACGCATATAGATAGAAAAATCCACTTATCACCCTCATGGAAATGTACTTTTAAACTTCGTTGGAAGGCGGAGAATTTCATGCCATGCAGTTTCTGTGTTTAGCCACGTACTGTGCACATGTATCTATATGAATACGTGCCTAATACGCACCCTTCGTTTCGTGCAATTCCAATTCAGTATGCTGAAAAACATTTCATATGTCAGTAAGTTACGATGAATTTATTTTCCACACTTCTTGCCGCTGTCCTTACAGTTTAAATGTACATTGTTTTTATTATGGGATGAGCAGAAGGAGGCCTGCGTGAGGATGTACTGGATTGGTAAAGTAAATTCCGTTTTGAAGAACACTGAGCTGACCACGCGGCACCCTCTATCGGCTAAAATTGGTACTAACTTCGCCGACAAGTGGCGGTCGCTCGGCCGGTATAGTTCGTCTACGGACTATAAGCCATAGAACTTTTGTTTTGTTTGTTTGAGAATTCTCGCATACCACTCACCGTCTTGGTAAAACTGACTACATATTTAGCGAATAAAGGATTTATAAATCTAGTGTTATAATGTACATCGGACATGTTATAACGCGATGAAGCTATAAAACCTAACTTTTCATCCAATTTGATAATTCTGGAGTCTAATATATGCCTCTTCACTTTGTAATTACATGCATACTGATTGTGGAGTACACGAACTTGATTCCAACTTCAACAAAAGCTGTTCAAGGATAAGTTCACGTGATTCTCGAACCAGTTCCCAATAATAGGTCGGATTATCCGAGTTAATGCATTCAGTTTTTCCTTTCCCTTCCTTCTTCGAATTAGCTCCTCTTCAGAAAATCTTGGGAGTGAAATTAAATACAGAATTATCAAAATGAGTATGGTCCAAATATATAAACAATTCCCCCTTCTCCAACCCAGCGTTTCTGTACCCATTTCTGTTACAGACTGATAGTGGTTTTCTTTTCCAAAAGAATACTTTCTGTGTGTAATTCTTTTTTTTTTTCTTGGCACTAAAGCCCCAGTGGGCCTAGGCCTACCTCCATGACCTTCTCCCTTCGCTTAGGTTTTTCTAGATCTTACACATTCGGTAGGACTCCTTGGGCGGGCGATAAGTTCGTCGCAAGGCCAAATCAAATATCCATGCCCTGAGTGGGATTCGAACCGACGATCCCGGCTTCCGAGCGAGCGAACACAGTGCATGCCGTGTAATTCTTTACTGGTATCTATTTTTGAGTGTAATTAAAGCCCCAACTGCGCTTTATGCTTTGTTTAAAAAAGAAATTATGTGGTTCTGTTGTTAAAATAGGCAGACGGGTATCATCGGAGTGGGGGGCAGATTTTGTACTGATGACAAGAACACACGGTCATTCTTCAGTTTATGTTGAATACTTTAGCATAGGCCTTATGCTACGTACTCCACAAAATTGATTTTTCTTTAATTAATTTCGATGCACTTACATCTACAAGTATGTTGACATATTTCATCTAACATCACGTTCTTGGGCCTATCAGGAATTAATACAGGGGTCGGGAAACTTGCTAGGGGCATAGGTTATATTTAAATTATTCTGTTTGCCTTGTGCACGTGATAGCCTTGAAATGACCTAGTCTCCGACAAAATGAGGTATGGAATATCTAATACATAAAAATAAACGAAAACCTCACCGTGACTCTTAGGGCGAGGGAACAACAAGGAAACTGGAAACCGCAACGCAACTGCAATTTCCGAGAATTGCTATCAGCCTGAGGTAAACGCATGTCACTGAATGGAGCAGCGCAAACTGAAGAAATGACATTGCATTCAGCATTCAGTAACATGCGTTTACCTCAGGCTGATAGCAATTCTTGGAAATTGCAGTTGCGTTGCGGTTGCCAGTTTCCTTGGTGTGTCCTCGCACTAAGTCTGTATAGGAAGGGCTAGGAAGGGTAAAATATCACGTAGTTTGATACGGAATTTACATGAACACACTGGGAGCAAAACTATCCTCTTTTTTTCGTATTGTAAGTTTTGTGCGAAGAAGTCCTTTCAATATTTCACAAGCTACTTCCAGTGTTCATAGATTCTGAAATATTCCTCTTGAAGATTCTGCTCACTGTCGCGTATGTTCCCAGAAACATTGGTTTCGGGATCTACACCAACGCGTGGCAGTTACAGAGATTGAAAACTCCACAGAAGCCTTCGCCGTAACCCCTGCGAGCGCAGGCATTCGCGCAGCCGCCATCTTTTGACGTGTTATCCAAGCATTTTACACCTTTCAGCGCTGTAAATCAAGCGATAAAATATTTATTATATAATTCTACATATATATCAAGAACATTTACTTACTTTCCAATTGAACTTAGTTACAAAAATAGCCGAAAATTTTCAGATAATTCTTATGGGGCAATTAAAACTTCATCTTCATCTGAAGTTATAAAACTATTTTAATGTTTGTCTCTCATATATTGAGCACGTAGATTAATTTGACTGACGTGCAAGCTAAAATGAAATAAAATGTAATAAATATTTTGAAAGAAAGTGTGTGTAAAATTGACATTGAATGGGCTGCATGAAGTCACCCTGCTTCATCCAAGTTTCTTGCTTGGCTAACTCTTCTACCCTGAAGAAGGAGACTGTAAGTTAAGTGGATTTCCACCGATCTACATGAAGTTACATCCAAAAAGATAGTACTCTACAAATACACGCTGTTGAGACTGTAATTTCAGTAAGTTTGTAACAGAAGTAAGATAGTAAAAGAAGGTAAAAATATAACGCTGTCCCTGTAACAGGCCGTGAAGGCCTGTGAGACGTCGAGGCTCCCATATTTTCTCTAGACAATCGGCTCATAGATAGCGGTGAAGTTGCCAGCCTTACGCGCCGGCCGCTCTTTACCCCCCAGAAAGATGCTGTTACTCATTTCTGTTAGAGGCTAAGTCGACACCAGGGCCATAATGCGGCTGGAAGGATTAAATCAATTAAAAATATCCACCTCATCGGGACTCGAAACCATGACCTTCCGGCTTGTAGCATAGTGCCTCAACCAACTACGCTACCGCGTGCGATAGCGTGACATAAAAAGAGCTAAAATAGACAAGTACCATCAATGCAGCAACAGATGAATTTTGTGTTCTGAAGTGGGCTCTAGTTCCTGAACATCAGTTTTAATGCAGGTCCTATTATACAGGTATTTATAATGTCTAACATCGGCTGACGGTCTGTTAAGTGAATGTGTAACAATATACTTTAATGACGAAGGCAGAATAGAGTGAACTGCATTGTTGAAGACTGGTAGATTCAGACTATATTGTTGGCTGAAAATTTGTTTTTCTCCCGTCACTGCTCGCAACCTCACCC